AAAAATTTACTGTTCTTGATGTGATCCGTTCACTTTTCTTGAATAAATGTTCCCTGGGTTCTTTAACAATATTTTATGAGATATGGAAAATAAACAAGAAAGTATGTCATACACAGAAAAAAACCTCAATAAATAGCAACTATCCTTGACTTTTTCCCATTTTGTTTTTTGGTTTTTTTTTTTTAGCATGCCATGCTATTAACTTATTACCTGTTCCTTTTTGTTTTACTGTTGTAGTGACTGTATGTGGAATTTATAATATGCATATTTAATTTATTCCAGCAAACAAATATACCTTTTCACCTATAGTATAAAGAACCTTACAGGAGTATATTTCTTTTTCCTTTTTCCTGATGTTGTGCTATTGATATGTAGGCACAATAGCTATATGTGGTTATAAATATCACAATACATTATTATTTTTAAATTATATTTTAAAGACATTGTTAAAAGGGAAAAATGTCTCTTTTATTTAATTATATATAAATATATAATTACTTATATATTGTTACTGTTACTTTTATATCCATTGTGCACATTTAAGTTTTAATCTCATATCATTTTCTTTCTTCCTGAAGAATTCCTTAATTCCTTAACATTTCTATATTTATCACCACCAAAGCTATTTAAAGATTATTTATACTATTACATATGTTTAAAAGTTTCACTGTATATCCTCTTTATTTTTACTTTGACTTTCATTTTTGAGCCCTTAATTGCTTTTCCAAATAATTTTTCTGAAAGGTCAGTTGACGTGTGCTGAATTTTATGAGGTGAGTATGTATACAATCTTTGCTGCAAAAGGAGAGATGCAGAGTTCTGAGTCAAATGGGGAGGGCTTCCCTGTTCTTTGCTTGGTGTAGGCACGTGGTCCAGGGGTTCTTTGTGGTGTCTTTTGACCTCATGATATGAGATTGGTGGCGGGATAACTTTGGTGGCGATGAATCATTTTACATTTCTGCTTGCCGAAAAGGTATTTCACCTTGAGAAAGATATTTTTAATTCTATGTTGAAAATTATTTTCTTTCAGTAATGGTACTTATAAATATGTTGCTTTATTGTTTTCTGACTTGCATCGTTCTGACAAGAAAACCATGGTTTTAGTTTGTGCTGAGATTACAGATGTGAGCCACCTTACCCAGCTAAGAATTATTTTAAAGCATTGTTAAAGTCCAGAGAAGCTTTTACTTTCAGACTAATTCGGCACTATTACTAGTGTAAGATCTTTCTGGGTTTTATAATGAATGTACCATGTATTCTGCATGTCTGATGGAAGACATAAAGATTCTCAGACTTGTGTGAGATCTGTAATTGTGGCTTACAGCTCCTTGGTAATTGTCCTCCCCATCCCCGGCAGTTTTTTTTTTTTTTTTGTCTAGCCTTGTGGGTTTCACATTGCATGAGAAAATTTCAGCCAAAGACTCAAGCACCCTACGCAGATTTCTGGAGCTCTTTATGGAGCTTCCATACTGTTCCTTACAAATTCTAACCTCTTTGTCGTCTCCTCATCTGATTCCTGTCTCTTCAACATAGTGAAATACCTGGGATCTGTTTTGTTGTACCCTTCTAGTACCATGGTCTGGAAATTGTGTCAGGCAGAAATCTGGAGGGTAATTGTAGCTCTTTCTTTGCTTCCATTCTCTCAGTCAACACATTTCTGCACTGCCTGTTGTCAAATTCCGAAAGAATTGTTCATATATTTTGTTCTGTTTTACAGTTTTGAGGTGGGACCACGCCCCAAAATGGAATTATCTTTTGGAGGGCAGGCCCCTTGTGTACACTTGAAATTTGTTCCTCCAGATCAAATGATCAACCAAGTTTTTATCTGGAAGTTATGAGAAGGTTGTGTCATGATTTGTGGGAGAAATATCCCGAGTTGTGGCAAACAGGTGACACCATGACAGTGCACCTGTCCACACTGCATTCAGTGTTCAGCAATTTTTGACCCCAAATGGTAAGACTCCCGTGCCCTAGTCTCCCAGTTCACCCGATCTCTCCCCAAGAGACTTTTTTTAGTTTCCCCAGATAAAAAAAGTCCTCAAAGGGAAACATTTTTCTGATGTGGAAGAGGTGAAATAAAAAATGGCAGAAGCACTAAAAGTCATCAAAATTGCTGAGATCAAAAACTGTTTTGAGCAGTGAAAAAAGTGTCTTAATAGGTATACTGCATCAGAAAGTACTTTGAAGGTGACTGAAGTTTAAACATATCAGAATAAACACACTTTTTAAATAAATAAATTTCATTTTTAGGTCCCCCTTTGTATTTATAACAAGAGGGAAGAAGTAGAAGCCAATGACCTGAGTTGGATCCTTTGTTAATTTATTTATTAAAGCAAAGAAAAAGTGAAAAAACAAGAATTTTAAAACACAATGGGTGTTCATATTTTGCTATTGACATCACTTAAAGTCTAAAGGAAAAGGGGACTTAAAAAGTCATATAGTTGCATTGTGTTGGAAGTCCTAGCTAGAGCAAATTAGATAAGAGAAGGAAATCAGGGGTATCTAAACAGGAAAAGAGGAAGTTAAGTTATCCCTCTTTGTTGATGATATAATCTTATTCCTTGAAAATCCAAGAGAATCTGTCAACAACTCCTGGCACTGATAAGCACTTTGGCATCTTGGGGTACAAAATAAATGTGCAAAGACAGTTGTCTTATACACCGACGACAAACAGGCAGAGAACCAAAAAAAAACAAAAAAACAAAAAAAGAAAAAAAAAAAGCACAATCCCATTCACAATAGCTGCTCAAAAAAAAACCCGAGAAGACACAAACAAGTGGAAAAATATTCCATGCTCATGGATAGGAAGAATCAATATTGTTAAGATATCCATCCTACCAAAGGCAACCTACAGATTCAATGAAATACCCATTAAATTACCAACACCATTCTTCTCAGATCTGGAAATGACAATAAGGAAATTTATATGAAAACATAAACATAGCCAAAACAATCCTTAGCAAAACAAACAGAGTGGGAGGTATCACACATCTAGACTTTAAACTTTATTATAAGGCTGCAATAATGAAAACAGCCTGGTATTGGTACCAGAACAGGCATATGGACCAATGGAACAGGACAGAGATTCTGGAAGCAAAACCTCAATTTCTCAACCAAATCATCTTAGATGAAGCCTCCAATAACAACCACTGGGGAGAGGAGAACCTATTCAGTAAATGATGCTGAGAAACCTGGCTGACCACATGCAGAAGACTGAAACAAGACTCCTACCTATCACTATACTCAAAACGACTCCAAATTAATCATAGACCTAAACATAAAACCACAAACTATAAGAATCTTAGAAAATGCAGGAGACACCCTTATAGAAATCAGAGTGGGCAACCAATTCCCAATCAAAACCCTAAGTGTCCATGCCACAAGAGATAAGATAGACAATGGGACCTCATTAAACTGAATAGCTTCTGCAAAGCAAAAGAAACCATCAAGAGAGCAGGGAAACAGCCCACAGAATGGGAAAAAATATTTGCCAATGGTATATTTGACAAAGGCAAAACATCCAGGATCTACAAGGAATTCAAACATGCCGAAAGGAAAAAAACAAACAGCTCCATTAAAAAGTGGGCAAAAGACATGAATAGATACTTCTCAGAAGAAGATATACAAGCAGCCAATAGACACATGAAAAAGTGCTCAGCCTCATTCATCATCAGAGAAATGCAAATCAAAACCACACTGAGATACCACCTAACCCAGTAAGAATGGCCATCATTAATAAAACAAAAACAATAGATGCTGGAGAGGATGCTGTGAAACAGGAATGCTTCTACACTGTTGATGGGAACACAAACTAGTTCAACCTCTATAGAAAACAGTGTGGCAATTTCTAAAAGAACTAGAAATTGACCTTCCATATGACTCAGCAATCCCCCTACTGGGAATATACCTGAAGGAACGCAAATCATTCTGCAAAAAAGATACCTGCACACGCATGTTTATTGCAGCACTATTCACAACAGCAAAAACATGGAACCAACTGTGCTGCCCACTGGATTAAAAAAAAAGTGGTTCATATACACGATGGAATATTATGCAGCCTTAAAGAAGGACAAGCATATGGACTTTGCAGCAACATGGATGGATTTAGAGTCTATCATACTTGGTGATCTATCACAGAAACCAAGAACAAAGTAACATGTGTTCTCACTCATAAGGGGACCCTGAACATTTATCATAATACTATAAGAAAAGGATTGGCAGCAGTGGGATACTGCTGGGATTGAGGGGGCATACAACATCAATAAGGGTACTTGATCTCAAACCGGGCAGAGTGGGGACCAAAGGAAGGCCCAAACTTTACCTGTATGATGCCCACTTGTAATTCTGAATTATTCCTCACATCTTTTAAAAAAAAAGTCATGTAGTTGAATTCTTATTTTGACGATGATAATACTGAGCTGAAGGGAAGCAGAATAACTTACCTTTTGATACCTCATCTGTGGACAGAACCCGGATCACTTTATTCCTGGCTTATTGCTCGTTGCTGTAGTGTGCTATCTTATTACCTCAATTGAGTAGAGAGTAGCAGTGAGAATTAGTAATGGTAAAAATGACTAACAGTCACATCTAGGGCAGTTTTAAGTACATTTGAAGTTTTAAGTATATTTGTATATTCATTCTTGCTCTTGGTTGGTTTAAATTTTAGTTTTTATTTTATCTTTCTTGTGCAATGTTTGATAGCATCTGATTTAACAGCATTGTTTTAGAGCATCTGATTTAATATGACCTAATTGTCTTATCAAACCTAATGATATATTTATAGAATCCCACAATTTAAAAAGCCATGAAATTGAAGGCATAGACAACAATATTTTTATGTTTTTCTCTATTTCTCATTTACTGCATGTTATTGGCTAGCTTATATTTCTCGTATACAGTTCTCATTGACTGCATTAATTGCCTAGCATTTACTAGCATGGAATAATGCACCTTAATGATTTTAAAAATTGGTGTTACTTTGTTTCTTTTTTCCATTTAAGGATATTTCTTTAATGGGAAAAATATACGTCAGAACATCTCAGATGCAAGTAAAAACACCTCAGATACCAGAAGAGCAAAGATTACAGATAAAAGTTGAGGAACCTCAAAAGGTAAACTTTAATAAATATCCTCCATGCCTATAATAAAGTAATAATCTGCCTCTTGTTGCATGAATGTTTATATAGAGAGTTTTTAAAAATTCGGATTAATTTAGAGATGTGTTTAACTGAGAGCACAAAACTAATCCAGTACAGAATTGGGAGTCGTGGTTATTCTTCCTCACTGTTGCTGACTACTGTAGACCTTCTGTGCTAAGGCCCAAAACTCTTTTTACAAACAAAGGAGTTTAACAACTCTTCTGATTTAGAGACATTTAGAACTAGAAGGTAGGTGGAGAATTAACTAAGAGTTACTTGCTTCACTTTAATTTATATTCAGCCAGAATAATTGTTAAAAGCATAGACAAGGAGAAAATTTTATTGAAAAATAAAGACAGTTAGTAGCAGAAGTTTATTTCAGAAACAAAGCTTACTTTTTTTTCCATCATTGATATCAGCAATGATGAACCAGAATAGAACCCCCCAAAATTTTTGTTTACATGGATTATATGAACCATATTTACCATATTAGAAATTGAAACTGAGAAAAATCTAAACTATTTATTCATTGGTTTAAAATAATAAGACAATTACATGTTAAATAACGTAAAAATATATTTTTTAGAAAAAAGTCATAAGCAAAATAAATTGAGTGAGGAGAGTAGGATTGTATTACGGTATATATGTTTTTTCAAATCCAGCATCTGCTTTAAGGAGAGCTTGATTCTCACATCTACTTTCATATTAAATCTGTTGTAATGTGTTCTTTTGGTTGGATTATATTAAGTAAATCTGATCTCATACAGTTTGGAAAAAGAGTCACATTTTAGTAATCTTTTTTACATAATTATGGATACTCTTCTTTGATAATGCACCAGAACTCCACAGGTGGTAGCTTTTTAAAGATTAGCTACAGTGTGGAATCTGAAACTTGATATATGAACTAATGGGATATCATTACATTAAAATCTATTGACCTACCTTTCTTGTTGAACAAATCTTTTACCCTGCATGATTTTGTAACCTTGTGTTAATAATTTGAAAGGCACTAGTTCACTCTTTTACCCACCACTGTTTTTCCATCATTAGTGCAAATTTCAGCACAGTGAAAAAAGGCAAATAACATCCTACTGTTCTTGTAAAGGTAGTTTTTGCATTGCAGACCTTCTGAAAGGGTATCAAAGACTGTCAGGAGCCTGTGAATCACACTTTGAGAACCACTAGTCTATTGGGTAAAGAAGAAAGAGGGCAAGAGCCTACATGTTTGAATCAGGTTGTCTAGGTTCAATTTAAAGTTTTGTTATGTACTTGAAGTGTGAACTTGGGCAAGTGGACATAACTTCTGTAAGCCTCAGTTTCTTCATTCCTAAAATGGGGTTATAAAACAGCTCCTAATTCATGGAATTCTTGTATTAAGGTTTGATAATGTTCATATTTGCTGGAAATTGGGATTATGATGATAATACTTAGACAATTGTAATATGGTGTGATACATGCTAAAATAGAGGTACAGGGGAGTGTAGGGTCAGGAAAGGTTTTGTGGAGGAGGTGAGGATGGACAGAGTCTTGGAGATGGTGAATTGTAGCTGGAGAACTAGCACTGCCCTCTTCTCAAGATTTTCTTTCCGCCTTTTTCTATTTTAATGGGTGGTACTTTCATCTCTTCACTCACACCAGAACCCTGGGGAGTGTATTGGGAAAACCAGGAGCAGAGAAATTCAAAAGGGAATGATGATCAGCCCAAAAACATCACATGATTGATGGAACATCAAATGGTTGACTTTGTCCTAGGTAGAGAGTATAGGAGCAGTTCCACAACACACGGTGCTGTGTGTTGAGCCAATGATACCCAGTGTATCGACTTTGCCATTTTATATGAAGAGTTTAAAACCAGTGAGGGAAATGAGGCCAAAAAAGTCTGAGTAACTTAACTGAGATCAAACATCCATTAATTGGCAGGTCCAGGATTTGAATTCAGTTCCACCTAATCCCACCTTTCCGCAACACCATTCAGTGGCTTTATTAAAACATGAGCTCAACATTCAAGTTTCAACTTACAAACTTAAATGTCCTGGTTCAACTCTCCCTTCTTGCACAATAAACACTTTTTTGTATTATTTGGTACTGTATGCCATGTTTTACCCATGACAACCGTGGAGATGAGCTGAGGAAACCTTCATGGTTTTCTTAAGTGAATTTGAATTTCTCTTTCTAAATCTTCAGAGGAAGCTTACTACCTTACTTTCTTCTTACTTTTTTTTTTCTTTTTGAGTTGGAGTCTTATTCTGTTCCCAGCTTGTAATGCAGTGGTATGCTCATGGCCACCACAGCCTTGACCTGCTGGACTCAGGCTGGAATCACAGGTGTGCACTACCACAATCTGCTAATTCTGGGGCTTACTGTAGAGATGAGGGCTCACCAAGTTACCCAGGCTGGTCTCGAACCCCTGAGCTCGGGCAATCCTCTCGCCTCGGCCTCCCAAAGTGCTGAGATTACAGGCCACTGCACCTGGCCTTCTTACTTTCAAGCATGCATTTTCTTATTCATTTGTTGTCAGATAGAAAATGTTACATCCCTGAAAATTTTGGAGGAATCAATTAAAAGGGCATTCTTGTACATTTACTTTTTTCAACAGAGTATTCTTAAAGAGCTTCCTGAAACCGTGTCAAGTATTTTACAGATTGAACTGGAGGATGTAGAGTGGGGAGCCTCAGAAGCAGAAAGCACAGTGTTTAAACCACAGGAAATTTTAGAAATTCAGCCAGCAGAGGAATTAAGTAAACCTTCAGAAGATGGGCAGCCCACAAGTGATTCAAAAGCAGCCAAGTGGGCAACCTTAAAGGTAAAAAGTTATTAATGTTGGAAATAGAGTTGTGGGAGTTGAGGATGTGCAGGTATGAAGAAATGGTCCAGGAAAGGACCAAGGTATGGGGCAAGAGGTTCACTCTAAAAGGGAGGCCTCAGAAGTTCACTCTAAAAGGGAGGCCTCAGAAGTGCATGGGGCAAGAGGTTCACTCTAAAAGGGAGGCCTCAGAAGTTCCATTTAGGAAAAGATAATATATGTTTTTGGTTTGATTTTTTATTTTCCAGAGTCACACTCTGTCACCCAGGCTGGTGTACAGTGGCACGATCATGGCTACTACAGCCTCAACCTCTAGGGCTCAGGCAATCCTTGCACCTCAGCCTCTCAAGTAGCTGGGTCTATAGGCGCACATCACCATACCTGGCTAATTTTTTTGACTCATTGCCAAGATGAGATCTTGCCATGTTGCCCAGGCTGATCTTGAAATCCTGAGCTTAGACGATCTTCTCATCTCAGGTTCCCAAAGTGCTGGGATTACAGGTGTGAGCCACCATGCCCTGAGATAACATGTGTGTTTTTTTTTGGGGGGGGGGTTGGTGTCAACCCCAATAACAATTCTGAAGAGAGGAGACAGATTTTCAAGGAGGAAAGGAACCTCAGGTGTTTCGGAAGCTATCAAAGAATCTTCCAGATATCATTCTGAGGGCGTCTGGAACTGAAACAAACAAACAAACTAAGCAAAACAAAATAACACTACAAAGCTCACCAAGGGACCACGGCTTGGCGAACTTGATAGTTTTTATAATTTTACCCCATTTAGGTTTACACTAACCCCTGAGTCTTTTTCTATTGTGAGAGTGTTTCCCAGATTCATTTTTATTTCTGCATTGTTTTAATAATTTTTACGACATTTGTATACCACTCTACCATTACAGTAGTCTCTTCTTTCCACCACTTCGTTTAGTCACAGGCAACTACAGTGTGAAAACAGGTGCGTACCTAAGAAAATAAGATATTTAGAGAGAGGAGGAGAGACCATATTCACATAACTTTTGTGATACAATGTTGTTATAGTTGTTTCTTTTTAGTTATTGTTGTTAATCTCTGATGGTGCCTAATTTATAAATTAAAGAATTAAGAATGTATATACGGGGAAAAACATAGTACATATAGGGCTCTGTACTAGCCAAGGTTTCAGATATACACTAGGGGTCTTGAAAGAGACACCTTGTGGATAAAGGAGGACTAGTATATTAACTTAATATTTTTCCTTGAGACAGTCACTTTTTGACTCAGATGAATGAATTTATTTAAAATAGATATATTAGGATTAAAAAAAATCCAGCTCACCTTCCCTGAACCACAACATATCATCTTGATTATCACCAGAAATCCTCTCTGACTGATTCAGATGAATGGCCCCTTCTTGGGTAAACAGCCTTACTGGTCAGTTCCTTTACTTTTGGGTCCCCCCTTCCTCACCAATGTTTATGTTCCTACCATACTTCACCCAAGTCATATGACCATTTCCTATTCTTCAATTTTGACCTAAGACTTCCAGTGCTGAAACCTGGGATTTATCTATGGCCTTCCCCTTCCCTTACTTTTCATGTATAATGTCTCCAAGGCCTGAATTCTTCCTAGATGCTATTGCTTTTATAGTTTTTTCTTCTTTTTACAGTTTCCCCATCCTAGTCTGGGTCCTTGCGGTCCTATGTCTGAATTAGTGCAGTTGTTTTTTTTTTTCATTCCTCAAGCCTGACCTTCCTAGGTTCAGAATAGCAGGTATTAAGGAAGATCCAAAAATTAATAGTTGACCAGAGAAAATTCACCACTGCTTTCAGGGAGAAAAGACTTATCCAGTGGTTCGTGGCCGACCCCACCTGCAGTCATGTCTTTCTGAAGCAAGCACTTGGATGCTGCTAGAAAGCATTCTAGGAAGAATGGTTTGACCAGAAAGACATGGTGAATGGACAAAGAGAACTTGAAATTGAAACCAGAAATGTTTCAAGTGGAGGAGAAGAGGATATCTAATAATATTTTATGGTATATTATTGTGGGATATTATGGGACACCTCAGAAATGCCATAAAAATAGAATTGGACTCATCCTACCAAGAATCTTATATTTATTTGTGTTAACATCTCAAGATCAATTGTTATTCATAAACTTTAACCTGTATATGGACATTTGAGGCCATAAGGTTAGTTTCTAGTGTCCTTGGGACAGGAATGAGGAACAAAATACTCCAGCAAGCCAGGTCAGATTGGGAGGACAAGAAGAACTTTTTTGACATAGCTAATAACTAGAACTAGCACAGAGGTGTGATAAAGGAGCAACGCAGGACTTCAATTGCTCAGATGTATGCTGGAAGGTCTTGTTCAGCAAAAATGTAGAGAATTTGATCAATATCTTATTGGGCATTTCTACTCTTAGAAGCTCATTATAGTCCTATAAAGGTCATTAATACTCTGGTCTAAGTCATGACCAAAAACAAGAAAAAAGTTAGAAATAATAGTGACCCTGTAAAGAAATGACTGACACATTTGACGGTAAAATGATTGTTGAGAATTTTAGGGGGGAAAATGTCAGTAAGAGTCTGCAAAAAATATAGATTTGATCACATGATCTGAGATTCTAAATTGAAGAACATGTAAGAGGCATATTATGCCCTAAATCTCCCCAAATCGTCTCTAAACAGTTATTAGTGATCTGTTGCACTTGGAATTTTAAAAATATACAACAGATGAAAGAAAAAAAATTCATATCCATAGAAAAACATGAAAGCATGTGGCTATATAATTGTACCAAGGAGGCTAAGATCCAGTATGGGTTGCAGCCTATGCATAATGTTAAGTACAACAACAAAAAGTATTTTTCATGTTAGTTTGGGAGCAAAGAGAAGAGAAAGAAAAGAAAGATAACTCTGTCATTATGGATGAATAGTGTGATGACAACAGATGACAGAGCTGCCTTAATTTATTTCTGGAAAAAGGCTGAGGCTTTAAGTAAACAAAATATGACATGGAGAAAAGGAAGCTGATAAACTTGTGCTTTGCTTCTCTTAAATCTGACAGGGAGAATGATCGTTACTTTAGAAAGAAGAGAAAAAGAATTGTAAAAGAAACTTAAAGCCCAAGATTTGCAAAAGATTTTAGGAGTGAAGGCAGACAGCTCAGCCTGTGGGCTCGTTTGTATGGTTTTAAGCCTGTTGCACCCTGTCAGCAACAGCTTTGGGGGTTGCTGCCGTGGGAGAGGTGCTGACGTCTGGGGACTGACAACTGCAAATCTGACTTTTATTTTTTTAAGAGTAAAGGTTGCAATCTCTGCAATCTATGCATTGATCTTGAACAACACTCTAGAATGATTAAGTGGCTCATTAAAAGAATTGTATTTGAATCTTTCTAAAAGGAAGTGGTAGTCACTTGGAACTTGCGTCCCCTAAAGACAAGTCATGGAAAACCAACCTTATGTCCTTTTCTAGAATTCCTAGACTAAACATCAGAAAAATGTTAGACCTGGGTGTTCAACGTAAGAGTATCATGGTAAGAGCACAGGCCCTGGAGCCTGATTCTGTTCCAAGGACGGAATCATCTCTACATTAAAAAAAAAATTTTAATTAAAAAAATTTAGCTTCAAGGAGTACATTTGCATATTTTTCACTTAGGTATATTGTGTGATAGTGAGATTTGGACTTCTTCTTTATCCTTTACTAGCAGTGTGGCCTTTGGTGAATCACTGAGTTACTTATATGTTTGTATTTTAACATGAGAGTAATGACAGTGCTCACCTCATATTATTGCCGTGAGGATTATATGTAGATGCTACAGTATAAAGATAAAGCACTTGCAACAATGCCTGGCACACAGAAAAATTCAATGAACATTAGTTGCTATTATCATCTTAATTTCAGCAGTCCACTTATGAAAGCTTTCCAGTGACAGTTTTGAAGAGGAGATTGTGCTCAGGTGAGCCGTAAATGGATTTGTAATTAGTTTTGCAAAGGATGTACAATTAGTGCATAAAGTCTATATTGGAGTACTATAGGGTTGTGTCTAATTCATATTTCCTAATAATTTGGATGATAATTTGGAAGACTTACTAAATGAATTTTCAGATAACTTTCAAAATGTGACTGGTAAGATCTGATTGGTCAGACCTCAGATGAAATTTAATCAGGATAAATGTATGTATGCTTCTGCCTTTGAATCCACTAAGTGCATAGGTAAAGGATGACAAGATTTAACAATAGCAAATGTGAAAGACTTCCGGATTTTAGGCTCTAATGTAGTTTTATGATAGGAAGATAAATGCAGCCATACTCGTAGTCTGCATTGATTGACAAATACCATAAAAGAAGACCATCTTTTTTTCTGGCTGATCTGATTACATTATACCTCACATGTTGTGTGCAGAGCTGGGTGTCTCATCCCAGGAGGAACTCTGACAAATTAGAGACTTTTTGGGAGAGAGCATCAAGATGACTAAACATAGTGCTTCACAACCATGTCATATAAGGTAGAGTTGAAGCGATTGGTTGTTTCTCTAGGGGAAAAGCAGGCCTAAGGGGAGCCAGACAACTATATTGAAATACTTGTCTGTCAAATGGAAGAGAGCTCCATTTTGCCTGTGTGGTTCCTGAGATTTGAATTGAGACTGGTGGATGAAAGGTATTAGGCTCAATATAAAGAAACAAACAAACAATTTAACACCTAGATGAGTTTCAAAGAGTAAGTGACTGCCTTTATACGGATCCAAATTCTCTTTTCCTGACCATGTTTAAGCCAGGCGATGACCACTCAGTGGAGATACTGTAGAGGAAATTCAAAGATTGCCTGGACAGTAGTGGAATGCTCTGTACTCCTTGAACTTTCTTTATTCTTCATCATTTCATTATTGAAGAAGTTGCAATAGTTATTTCCTTATTCTGTATCAAGCCTAAACCCTCTACCTAATTTATAGGAACTTCCTTTTATCTGGCCATCTCCTACTCATTAAACCATAGCTGTCTGTTCTTCCCAAGGAAGGCCTCCCTGCTGTCTTCCTTAAATCTAGACTCTAAAAAAATACAAAGCAACCCACAGAGAAAAATACCTTTACATGAATGATTGCCAGAAATTCTGCAAATTTTCCAGGAAATTTAGGAAGACACTACTCCTAATAACTAAAATGACTAAAAGGGAATTATTATTTGTTTGGTTTTTAGAAACTGGTGTTTATTTTCCATCAACCTTATTTCTATGTTGCTTAAGAGCCTATGGAAGAACAGCTTAAGAGCACTCAGTGGTTGTTCCTACCCATTTAGTGGCCTGAGCAGTGGGAGCTGCAGACCAGTCTTTTGTGGCAGGCTGAGGTCCAGTCTTCAGTCAAGAACTGCCGAATAGGCACAGAGGGCCCCTGTCCACCTTCAGACCAGTCTGCGACCTCAGGTTGAGTAGCAGTGAACTCAGGAGCTGGAACAGTCTATGCAGCCTGAAATTCCTCCTTGGTCACGGCTTTTCCAGCAGCAATCTGTTCTTCCTTTTCAAGCTTTTCAGGATCTCTGTAGAAGCAGAGATCAGGCATAACCTCCTATGGGTGTTCATGGGAGATGGTGTACGCATGTGCAGAACTTCCCAAGCCAGCCTTTACCACATCAGGCCCAAGAAATGAGCTCCCTTGTTGTTACCTGAGTGGGCATATCCACATAGCGCAGAAGAGAGTCTGTGTTCTGCAGAGCATTAGTAGGCAGGTTTACCAAAGATGCATCTGTGATGGGCTGGTTGTCAACCCTGGGATCAGTAACCATTAATGCTGCCTGGATCTAGTTGGTGAAGTTTCCAAGAGTGAAGCAGCTAATAACAGAAGTGGCTCCAGTGGCAGCAGCAAACTTCAGTACAACCTTCTGGCCAGTTTTCTGGAGGATGTGACACTGACTTTGGCAGGATTTTCAGTGGCAACGATGGTGTAAACTGTCAGCAGAAGCTTCTCGCAAGTCCTCTTCAAATTTGTGATGTAAATGCCATCACTTTTTCTTTTGTAGAGGTACTGTTCCATCTGGAAGTCAAAGGTGGTGACACCTATGTGGGTTCCTGCTGCAAAGAGCTTGAGGACATCCTCCTCCTTCATTTGCAGGACATCAGAAGCTCTGGACATTGTGGAAGTTTCCCTTTAAGTTACAACGGGAATCCAGAACAACACCATGTAGACCACTCTTTCGGTAGCGTGGAAAGGAGAAATAAATTATTTATGAGACAGAATGTATTTGATTTTTCCCAAGCAGTAGTAATAGAAAACAGTTTAACTGTTAGAAATACAAATTGATAAATGTTGCTCAAAATAATAATATAAAGCATTAATAGTCTTTTTAGCTTGTGCTTATAACCAGTAGTCATGTCAAACTTTAAGAAACTAAGGGTAAGTTTTATTAAAAATACCAATCAAGAAGAGTAGATTTGTGGAGAGAAAAATTTTATATTTCTTTTAAAATTATTTTAAGGTTTTAAATAAAAAATATTGCAAATAAATGTGGTACTAATATTTTTATTGTTATAAAGGTATATAAGTAAAAATTTAGGAATGGATTTAAAGGAACTCATCTTTAGGATTTAGATTCTGTTATAAAATATACATTAAAAATCAGTTGTTTAAATATTAGATGGATCATTACACATGAGAGAAAGATATCTCATGTTACAACTTCCCCTTAACAGCACCCTTTATATATTTTTAAAGGTGAAATCATCAGAATTCTTGCAAATCAAAGGAAAAGAAGTTAAGCGAATGCAGAAAAGCAGATCAGGAATTTCATCACTGAGACCAAGAAAGTCTTTAAAACCCCCTCAGGATCTGAAACTACATAAAAAGTAATTTTTTTAAATTTACAAATTTTGCTATTGGAAAAAAAGTTATTCATTAACCTTGTTACATGGAAAAACATTTAAAAAGGAAAACAATGTTTTAGAAATTCAAGTATGAGATCTCAGTTAAACTCATAGGAAAAATTGGTGGCAGATTTTACATTAGGATACGTATGCTATATTCTGTGTCTTTCTTTCCCTTTGTTGATAAACGTTCTCTAGTGATGTAACAATAACTGGATTAAAAATAACTATTGGTGAGACTAAAGAAAATTAAATGCTAGCACGGTCTCTTTGATATCTTTGGGTCACCATAATGCCTGATTTGGACTGCTTACTTGTTATATTGGTTAATTTTGTTATAATAAAAGACAACTCAATCCAAAATGTCCATAGGTGAATCAGTTGGATAATTTAGATGGCATTATTTTTATCTTCTATCAGGTTTCATCCTCACATGCATTTGTAATTTTTTTTTTTTTAGTTGCACAGGAATACAACCTCAATTTGCAATAACAGTGTGTCACTGCAATTTAGATCATGGTTTACCTTTTGTCATCCACCTCGTTGAAACTCTGATTTTCTCTTTATTTCACCAGTAGTTTTTTTTAATGAGTTGGTTTATTATAGATTCTTCCTCGTTTAACTCTTGTTGAGGGTTTCAAGAAGTTTTAATTATTAGCTTTTGTTGTAGCTTAGGGCACTGAAACATGTGCTGGATGGAAGACAATCTTTTTATGGCCAGCCTAAACTTTGTAAATGGATGTTACTCACAATTTAGTAGCTGAGAATAGACTCATGGGAAAAGAATTCCAAAGTTTATGAAACAGTCAAATTGGCATTTAAGTGACCCTGTACATACCATTGCTTATCTGCATTGCTTTAAGCTCATTTAGTTAGCAAGATTATGTATTAAAACAAATAGTGACAGCGGACAACAAGTATTTTACCTTCAATAAATAGTTACTGTCAGATTATCAATGAAGCAGAAACTTCTTGATTTTTTTTTTTCTAAAAAACCTTGCATTAAGCAAAGTAGTATGGCCACACACAGAGTCTTTTCTTTTTTATGTCTTAGTGTTTCAAAGAATGACAAATAGTCCTGTTTAAGGAGAGTGTGCTGTAAAAACACACAGCCTTTCTTGAGCATGCCAAAAATATTTGTAGATCCTAATGATATATATATATATATATATATAGTACTGTTTATTTCATTAAAACTAAAATCAGAAATTTCCATAAAAAGGAAACAAGAATTAGATGCAGAGGAATAAAAATCTGATATAAATATATATATAATGCTTAGCACGCTTCTATTAAAAAAAGAAAATGAAAAAATTATATAATAAGAGAGTGTTGGGAAAATATTTCTGAAAGTTTTTTAACCACTACTTCTTTTTCTTTAATCAACTTTCTACCTAAGTTTTCTGACCAGTGACTAGCCCCCAAATTAAAATGTTTTCTTAGGAATTCAGTCATCTTGCAGTCAGTTGTCATCTAGGTCAACAACCATGGGACATTCACTGCTGAACTATGTTGTTGTTAGACTATAATGGGAGCACAGGAATTCAGATTGGTTGTGAAGCCTTTTTAAGAAAAAATAAAAATCAGTAATGCAATCTAAAGCACATTTCACTAGCTAGAACCTGTCCCGGGAAGAATGATGGTTTAGGCGAGCTTGACATCAGAGCTCACCTTTTTCTCCATTCTCTCTCTCTCTTTTGAAAGACCTTTTCTTAGGAGCCCAGAGTGCCCAGGAACCCTGGCTTCCTGGACACCCCCATTTATTCCCCCAGTTAGGTCACTGTCTCAGGCATTTCCATATGCTTTAGCTTTGCCTCTCTTTTCTTCCTTCACACAAATGTGTACACATTTCATATCCTATTCTTGCTAGGCCCTATGCTGTTTTGGAAATGCCATAAACCATCTTCTATTAATGATTCAATATTGCACATACTGTGTCTAGCAATGGATTAGATGCTGTGTGTGCAAACTAATAACGACAACAATAAAAATAACACAATCATTTCTTTAGAGACTTCCACATACTGGGAATGATACATCTACTATTTCTATCAATTTTTACAACAGCAAGGGTTAAGGATTTCTATGCTCATTTTTCAGAATACCTTCAAAGAATCCATTCATACAGTTTGCAAGTTTAAAACTGAGATTCTGATCCAGGCTCAGACAAATACAAAGTCTATAATTCTTTATACATGCTACTGTCTGAGGCAGTCCCAGACACTGGAGCTGTGCATGGACAAACCAGCACTAACCCACTAGTTAAAGGGTCAAAATGGGTGGCAAAAGACTAGAGCAACATGTGAAAAGAGACAGTTGCAAAAAAGAAAAAAATCCCATAAAAAATACACTTTGCAGAGAAGTCTGTTCTTGACATTGTTTGAAGGATGTTTAGACATGGACAAAAGGGTAGACAGCATTCTATCCATAACTGAAGGAACTGAGAGTTTTAGTCGTGATTTGCCCTGGAAATTGATGTAATAGCTAACATCCATCACGTGAGCGACACTATTCTAAATGCATTCACTCTTTTTTCTTAAAACAACTTTATCTGGGATATACCCATGTTGTTATTCATGAGTTGGTATAGAGCAATAAATTAATTTGCTTATGACCAAGAGAGAATTTTAAAGAGAATTTGAACCCAGGCAGTCTGACTCTACATTCTATACCCTTAATCACTATGCTAGAAGTAAGGCCAGATGCTAGGGGCCTTGAAACTTAGAGAGAAGGAGTTAGACAAATGTAGTAAGTAACGAAGAGTCACTGTGTTGGGTAAAGGAGCACTTAAAGAACATTGATCTAGTAGAATTTTTTAGAGGGGAAGAGACAGAGGGTGCAGAGCTCAACTTAATTGTCAAACCCTTGTCTGTGAAGGCTGAGGTGATGAGGACTTCAACTGGGGTGTGCTGGCAGTAAGGTTGGAGAAGGAGCACACCTGAGCAACTCTGTGCAGGGAAGAAGTTTGGCTTTGCATTGGGTATGCAGGTGAAGGAGAAAGGAGTCAAAGATGTTTTCTATCTTCAAGATGAGGAATCTCAGCACAAAGGGAACAGTGAAACATTCAAGTTGGTTTTTCCAATGTAGAAACAGAAGTTTAAACCTTAGAAGCCTCCTCATCCAGTTTGGAAGCTGGAGAAGGAAAAACCAGTGACTAAGTCAGATTATGATGTATTGTAGAAACAGATGGAAAGTCACAGTGCAGGCTTTAAAAAGTTCATGTCGAAAGAGTAATTTCAAGAAAAGTCATTAATTTTGTCAGAGGTGGCTCGGCAGTCATAGGGAAGCATGATCCAAAGATCTAAAGTTGATTGGATTTGATTGCTGAAAAGAAGGTCATTTGTTTAAAGTAAAAGTATAGCGACGGTGCCAAAAAAATGTATACACATTTAAAGTGATGTTAAGAGATGTTTGCTGTAATCAGAAGTGTCTAGGTAGCCACCTAGAGCACCTCTTGTGATTGCAGAAGTAAAATGTGACTTGTCTTCAACTTTTGTTATTGGTATATATTGAGCAGTACAATTTTAATGTTTTTTTTTTCCTTTCTTAAAATGTGTATACATGTTTTTGGCACCCTCTATATGTTTTGTAGGAAGGTGAGGTTGACTTAGTTCTGGATAAGGGCCACTTCTACTCAGGAGTTATTAGTAGGCAAGAAATTTGACCAATAGCCAGCCACATTGTGTTTGGATCCTGGTAGCCACCCACTAATTTTGTGAACTGTCCAAAATAAGCCCACTCCAAAATAAGGATAATTATACATCCAATAGCGCCTTGTTGTGGGAATTGGAGGAAATGAGTGTAAAGCACCTAACACAAATAGTGCTTGTTGAATGGGTGGCAGGTGGCACTGGGGATTAGGAAAACAGATCTTCATGCCCTCTTCTCTGCTTTGGAGAGGCAGGAGAGACACAAGCTCTAGCAGAGTGGGAAGGGAGATGCCACACTGACTTAGACTCACAGTTGTATCAATTCTGGTTGATGAATAATATATTACGTTGTTCTACTTCTTTAAGGACATTAGCATTTGAGCATAATAGCAAAAGAGTAATGTATATGGGGGGATATAGGGTTCTCAGACTGAGTTACAGAATTCAGGATAAAAGAGGTTGGGGTGGGATGGTAATGAGTTTGTTTTTAGATTTGTTGATTCTGAGGTGTCTGTAGGACATATTGGTTGAGTTATTTGGGAGGCAGTTGGATACAAATTTAAAGCTCTGGACAGTGACCTGGAGTTGTGTTATTAAGCTGGTTATAAACTATTATTGTAGTTTTAAATCTGATCTCCTGTATTTATATATCCTTTTCAGAGCCTGAACTGAACTGTCAATATAAACTTCTTGCATATCTAAAGACTACAAAATGATAAAAGAAGCTCACTTTCTTTTCCCCACTGCAGAATTCCACAAGACTCGTCCATTCCTCGCCTGCATGGTCTGTGCACCACCATCCCAATCCGGGAACTGCCCATTGACTTGTGCCTGGCTTCTCGAGTATATCACACTCCTGACAAGAAAGGCCATACTGCCCTGCTCGGGATATTTGGAGCATCTTTCTTAGATGATTGCTTTACAGATGAAGAACAAAGAGACAGGTAGGTGTGATTTCCACCACCAATTTTGCTTTAAACTAGATTCAAGTTGTCAAAGAAATTCCATCTCTGAGGTTTAGATTTTAGACACTTGCTTTTGTTTTTGTACACTAGATAGAAACAGTTTTTGTTCTTTTCCATTGCTTTCCCAGTGCATACATAGTGTAAGTTCATGTCTCCATTTCCTGATAGTATTAACAAGAACGATACTCTGTCATGAGGTAACTTTATTTACTTATTTATTTGAGGTGGAGTCTCACTCTGTTGCCCAGGCTGGAGTGCAGTGGCACACCCATGGCCACCGCAGCCTTGACCCTCTGGCTCAGGTGATCCTTCCACCTCAACCTTCCAAGTAGCTGGAACTACAGGCACAAGCCACCACCCCCGGCTAATTTTTTAATTTATTGTAGAGATGAGATCTCACTAAGTTGCCCATGCTGGTCTCAAACTTGTGGGCTTAGGCAATCCTCTCACCTTGGCCTCCCAAAGTGCTGGGATTATAGGCATGAGCCACTGCGCCTGGCCAATAAGGTAACTTTAGTAGTCTAGTTCCAAAAGAATGTTACACATACTATGCCATCTGTTCTCCATCACAACTGTGGAGTACAGATGTGGAAATTGAGGCTCATGAAAGTTAAGCAATTAAGCTACATGTATATAATTTTAAAAAGTGATAAATCTGGCACTTAAACCCAGTTTTCTGAACTAGATTTCACTATCACTGGGCATACTCGTGTCCAAGGATCATATACAAAAGTCATCTGTCTTGGATTTCATTCCACTTCTCCTTGGAGATCACTTGCCTTTGGAATCTGCATATTCTTTTGTGAGAGTATATAGTTTGCGGCATTCTCAAACGAGAGGAGAAAAAGAGAAGAGACCTAATGTTTATTTAGAGTAACTATATTCTCAGCACTGTGCTATGTGCTTTGCATATGTTTCCTATTTAAATCTTCAACTGTAAGGGAGAAACCGTATAATTTCCATTTTATTCATGAAGACAGTGAAACTACTCTGTATGACATATAAGGGTGGATACATGTCATTACATACATTTGCCCAAACCTATAGAATGTATACCACCAAGAGGAAATGCAAACTATGCAACCTCAGTGATAATGATGTGTCAATGTAAGTTCGGTTGTAACAAATATAACACTCTGGGGAAAGCTGTGCATGAGTTGGGTCGGGATTTGTGGGATATCTCTGTACCTCCCTCTCAATTTTGCTGTGGATCTAAAACTTCACTACAAAATAAAGGCCATTAACTTAAAAAAAGGAATTTTGGAAATTTCATAATTGCTCCAGAGTCTCTGGTAGAAAACAGCAGCTCAGCATGACAAATCCTTTGGAAGGTCTTTTAAAAGCCTAAAGCTTGGTTGGAATAGAAAATAAAGACATAAATAGAATCTAGTAGTCATGAAATTCTGCTATTTTTAGTCATTTCCATTAGTACTCTGTAAGCCAAGCATCATTTTGAGGACTTACAGCTTCAATTATTCATGCAAGGTGTTAAAAATGCTGGTTTCTTTCCAATTCTAAAATTTTTTCTTTTTCAAGTAGACCTCACTTTCTTTTTCCAAGAGAGTCAATAAACGTTCTATTTGACGATGATAATTCTTGGCAATTTGTTCCTAAGTACCAAATAAGAAGTTAATTTAAGTACTGAATATTTAATTCTCCAGCATCTATCTCTTGAGGATTACCTTGCTAAACATAGCTTAACCTTTTCAAAATATATCTGTCTGCTGAGCCTACAAGTTCGGAGAAATGTATAATTTTTTTCTGCACTAATAAGTGTTCTCAGGAAAGGTAATTGTAAACACAAAATGAATACCCTTTCATTTGATGGCTTTTTTCTTTTTTCTGTGCAATGAACAGTTAACTCCAAAGATAATACTTGTTGTTACATAGTCATCTAGTCTAATTCTTTGTGCAGTGATTGTTATTTGTGGCAAACACCAAGAATATTTTAGTGGAATTGTAAGGGTATATCCTTAGGGTCATTTGAAATAGCAATGTGGTATTTGAACTTAGTTTATTTTGCTAAACAACAAATACGATGAGAACTATAAAAAGATTTCACATTGACCATATTTTTGCTTTAAAAATAATTTCTATATTGTATAGAGAAGTTTATAGACATTTAGTTAGAATTCTTGGTGTGGAATTTTATATTTGAGGTTTTAAAGTAGGGGATAATCATTAAAAGTGTTTAACGACTTAAATTAATGTTAGCAGGTTGGTGAACAGCTTTCCAGACAACGCTTGTATATATACATGATTAAGCCATACATGATATTCTAGATCCTGACTTTTTTCACTCAAGATTGTATGTGAACATTTACATTATTTCATTATAGTTAGTACTTTAACCAAGCTGCAGTGACACTGTTTATGATTATTTATGACACTTCTTTTTCTTACACCCTTGCCAAACTACTAATGGTCAATCTCTTTGATTTTTTCCCCTAATCTGATGAGGAAAAACATCTTTTATTATTTTTATTCATTTCTGGTAAGGTTGAGTATATTTTTAGATGTCTCTTGGCTATTTGTTTTTTTTTCCTTTTGAGAATTACCAGTTTATATTCTGTGAAGCTGTTATTCATCTCTTTCTTACTGACTTGTAAATGATCTTTTTATAATAAAGATTTTGATTATTTACTAGAGATTGTATATATTTTTTCAATTTGTTGTTTGCTTCTCAGTCTTGTTTATGATGTTTTATGCTGTATAGAAGTTTTCTTTTTATATAGTAAAAGCTAGCAATTGTTTTCTTTATATGTTCTCGTCTTGATGTAGTCTTAGAAAAGCCATTTCTATACTTATATTTGAATATATTCACTCGTATTTTCTTCTAGCAATTTTGTGACTTCCTTTGAAAAAAATTAAATCCTTGATCCATTGGTATTTATTTTGATAAGAAGAATAATTGCACAATATAATTTATTTGGTGATTTTTCTTCCCACCGATTTGAATGCTAACTTTTCATACCTTAAATTGAACATGTTATTGAGTCTATTGATAAATTTATGTTCCGTTTCACTGATTTGTCTGTGTAAAACTGCCTCTGTATTTTGCTGATCCACCATCAGTAAAGAGAGAGTTGGTGGCAAAAATGCAATCCTACAAATATTGGCTGACCTTCTCAAATCCAGTACCTCATATAGCCAGCTTTCTGGTGGTGAGCAATGCTAAGGCCATAGATCCCAGCCTTAACCCTCTGCTTGGCTTCAAATTACAAATGAAATTCCTAGTCGATTTTTGAAAAAATGTGGTCAGATTATTTGTTCCATATATTAAAGCAGCAGTAACAGCAGCAGGAAAATACAAGGCCGAGTGTCAGAATTTAATATTTAGTTTAGTTTTGATTATTTTGTTGCAATAATGATTTTATTTTAGAAAATATGCAAGCAAATGCAAAAAAGAAAAACAATTACTCAAAATCTTGCCATCCAGAGATGATACTGTTAACATTCTTAAATAAAGATTTCCAGGTTTTTCTGTATGCAAATAAATCATACAGAACAAAACCGGAATAATGCTATATACACAGAATTTTGTAACCGAACCTTTAAGCTTATTATTCTGTAAACATCTTTCCATGTCAAGAAATATAGATTTGAACAACCAATCAGCAAATGGATGGTTTTTGTGTACCTACTATGTGGCAGACATAGAGGTAGGCACTAGGGAAGCATCTGCAAGCAAGAGAAACATAATCCCTGCCCTCAGGGTATCTGGACACAAGCTAAAAGAAAGGAGGTATATTAATTATTGTGAATATGACAACATGAAAACTGTACAGGGTGTTAGGGAAACATGAGAGAAGAGTCTCTGATTATCTGGGGGACGTTTGAGGAAATGATTCTTAAATTGAACCCTGAAAGATGGGAAAGAATGTTTTAAATCCTTGCTACTCAAAGTATAATCCACAGATTAGCAGCATCACCATCACCTGGCAACTTTTTAGAAATACAAATGATTTGTATACACATTGAAGTCTGAGTCCTGGTTGTGGACAACTGGAACCCATCTGAGAATTGGAAAGAAGTCCAGTATTAGAAAAGAGAAAGAGCCACCATACATTTAAGGATAGAGAGGAGGCAGGAGTTAATGGATATTGTGTATGTGTATGTGAGGGCATGCATGGGGGATTGGGGGAGGGATTCTTACTCACAGAGCACTGGGAAAGTCTTGGTGGATTTCTGAGGAAGAATGACACGACCAAACTTGCCTTAAGATATCACAAACCTTGTCTTGACTTTTCAGCAGTATTGGAAACAGCTGATCACTTGCTCTTTTGTAAATCACATTTATCCCTTGGCCTCAGGGACTGTTTCTCTTCTGGTTCTTTTTCTGCTTCCCTGCTATGCCTTCTCAGTCTCCTTTCCCGGTATCTCCTCATCTCTTGACTTCTCAACATTGGACTGCCCAGAGCTTATCAAGTTGATCTAATCCAGGGTTATGGCTTTAAATTCCATTTATATGCTGATAAATATCAATTGGGAAGATAAATCCACAAGGACCTTCAACGTGCCACTTTTTATAGTAACTAAAAACTGGAAACAACTGAAGTGTCCCTCAATGGTGGACTTTTTTGTAGTTCATCCGATAATAAGATGGATTACAACTGTGACAAAGACTGAAGTAGAGTTCTGTGTCTTGAAAGGGGGTAGATCTAGATATAGAAACAATATGTGATTGCATAAAACACTTATTTTTGTGTGGAAGAAAATTCACGAAACTTAACTGTGGTCCTTTTGTTTTCATTGTCGATTGTACATAAATCCATAAAAAGTGAAACTCTATCTTATTATTTGCTGTGTTTGTTTGGTATATATTTACCCTTTCTTTCATTTTACTTTTTCTTAGTTATGTCCTTTGTAGATTGCATACATGTAAATATTTTTGAGCTAATCAAAAATTTATTTTCTTATACTAGTTTGGGTCTCCCCATATTCAGTTATTGTCCCACCAGATGTGCTTGGTGTTATTC